ACACTCACTCAGACCGCATCAGGTCCAGAACCAAGGCAGGCTTTTCCTGGTGTGGAGTGGACGACCAGTTGAGGAGAGGGTCGTAGGGAGAAGTTGCAGCTCTCACCAAGGTCCAGATGAGTTGGTAGAGTTTGAGAGCAGTAAGGATCACGCAGAGGCTCAGGAAACGATGACAAGTGATGGGATGTCAGGACCTCATCAGGCTCTCCAGCTCCAGTGCATCCTTGTTTCGGCTGGCTGAATCCCTGTTCATTTGCACTATTATTTATACTAAATTTTGGTGGTGGGGGGGTTGACCCCCCTTTCAATCCTTATCAACTACCACCGATTTATCAGTGACATCATTTACCCTGGGGTCAGAAACATCTGGTCTGGTGGTCTCCACCCTGAGCTTCTCACCTTTCCCTCTTATCAAGTGAGGACAGCCTGCCAGGGGCTTCACTCTGTTTACCAGCGTGAGGGGAAGTAACTTGTTTGAGGCCATACTGGAGGGCTCTGTGGGTGTGCCAGGTGAAACTGCAGGTTTCAAACTGGAGTCAATGGATTCACCCACTGATGATATTAGAACCCTCAAGACCAACTTACCTTCCAAAGGCCTCACCTCTGAACAGTACCTCATTGGGGACCAAGGCTTCAACATGTGAGATTTGGGGCAACATTTCAGATCCAAACCATAATAAAGTACTTTTTTCTTTTCCCCAGCTTTATTGGGATAGAATTGACAAAAGTTATGTAAATGTATGGTGTGCAAAGTGATGTTTTGATGTGAAATGATAATCATAATCAAGCTCATTAATATATATATATGTATATCACCTTAGATAATTATCTTTTTATGTAATGAGAATCATTAAGATCTACTATCTCAACAATTTTCAAGTGTCTAACAATTAGTATTAACTGCAGTCACCATGCTGTACAATACATCTCCACAGTGCCTTGATTTTAAGGGCATGTCAGAGATTTTGTGTGTCCAATGTTGTAAACTCTATGCTCACTGTAAGAAATAACAAAGGGGTCTGGGATTGTGGTTCA